AGTTTGGGGTCTGTCCGCTGCATCACTTGGGGTGGAAAGCTGGATGAGTTTACCTAATCTATAAGCATCATGACAACCAAAGACAGAGCCCAGAGGAGGGTTGTGGAAATATCTGTGGGCTGGCCAAAGAACAGAGGCCTTGAATATCTGATATAGCAATCTCGGTAGTAACCTTGCTGGCTGTGGCTAGGAGAGGTGCATGACAAAGAGAGTGCTTTCGGCAGATCACTATGGCAGCACCAAGGAGGGACTGGAGGCAGAAAGGCCAGCTGCTGCAATATCTGGTAAGTAGCAAGGAGAATGTGAAGGCTGGAAAAGGGGGAGGAGCTTGTCCTGAGAGGACGCACCCCCTCCTCAGAGAGCAGTGAGGAAGTTCAGGGACTGTAAACAAGTTCATGTGGCTTACTCTGGCCTACCTGGAAGAAGCAAGGCTCCCAGGCCAGCTGACCTCAGAGGCCCCTCCCTCTGCTGGCCAGGAGCTTCAGCCAGCATGGAAAAGAGACTCTGGAAACAACAGGTGACTTGCTGGTGTCATACCCAGCCAAAGCTGGAGAGGGACAATCTCCCTGCGGCTGTTAGAACCAGTAGCTTTGTGACATGTCCAATACAAGAAATATCAGCTTTGAAGGGACGGAAGGTTCACTCCTAGGTATATCCCCTAAAGAATTGAAAAACAGGTGTTTACACAAAAACTTATCCATGCATCGCCATAGCAGCAAAATCCACAATAATCAAAAGGTGGAAACAACTCCAATATCTATCAACCAACAAGCAGATAAACAAAACATGGCATATCTATACAATGAAACATTACTTAGCCACAAAAAGGAAAGATATGCTATAACAAAGATGGACTTGGAAAACATTATTCTAAGTGAAAGGAGCCAGACACAAAAGGACAAATCTAGTATGAATCCATTTATTTGAAATGTCCAGAACTGGTAAATCTATAGACAGCAGGTGGTTGCCAGGGATACAGGGGAGGGGGTAAGGAGGAGCGGCTGCTTATTGGGTACAGGTTTTCCTTCTGGGGTGATAAAAATGTTCTGGAACTGGATAGGGGTGGTGGTTGCTCAACACTGTGAATATACTAAATGCCATTGAATTATACACTTTAAAATGTTAAAATGGTGAATTGTATGTTATGTGAATTTTACCACAATAAATGAAAAAGATGGGAGGTGGCCCATCAAGTCCCTATTTATGGGTGATCACTGGGGCTGAGGAGCCCTCCCCAAAGGTTTTCTAGTTCCTGTTCTCCCAACACTTAGCACCAAGCAGGCAGGCACTTGAAAGAGCTGGAGGAGAAAGATCTTTATTCTCTGTTATGTGTCTCCATGAAGCATGAACCCCCCTGCCCAGTTACCCTATGCCTGTCACTGAGAATATATACATACACTTCCTCATCCCCACCTCCAAGACTTTGCTGTATGTCCCTTTCTCTACATTCCTCCCACACCCTAAGACTTCCACTGTACCCCTTGCCATCTACCCAATGTCTGCATTTCCCTCCATGTCCAGCTCAAATCCTTCCCCGATCTCCCATTGCTGACCTCTGCCCACACACATCTGGCATTTCAACAGTCCACCCAGCACTTGATCACATTCCCGCCCTCAGCCTCGTTGTTTTCAAGTAGATCTTCAGCCTATGAATGCACAGGTATGTCAGGAACCCTCTTCTCTTCACTAAACTCAGAACAACAGCTCCTCGTAACTGTCTGTTGGTCCTAAGCCCAGAGCTATACCTTGGACCTCTCCCATGGACACTCCTAGACTAACTCGGTTCAGTCTCCAGTGGGACTCGCCAGCAGTGGAATAAGGTCACTGTGTCCCCAGGAAGAAGACCAAAGTCTCCCACCCAATAGGTAATGACCAACAAGCCTTGTTTCATATCAGCCTCACAGCCAGACCAACCTTAGATCTCCAATTAGTCCCAGCGTCCCTATTATACCAGGTCCTTCAAAATTGTTTTCATTAAAATGGTAAGACATCAACAGAGATTGTAATTATAGGTGAGAGAAAAATCAAGAGTTCCCTGCCCCCAGCAAACTTCTGGATGGACACTGCTAAGAATTAGAGCTGAATTCTGTGTGAATACAAAAAGAATCCCAGCAGAACTCTGTGTGGACAGACTTAGAATCACAACCAATATCAAGGTCAACACCAATAAAAGTGGAATGGAATTCTGGATGACCCCTGAGATAACACAGAAGACACTGAGGTCAATGATGATACAGTTAGAAGGGAATGTGGAGTGAACACTAAAACAATGACTCTATTAGGGTGAAGCGAAGTGAGGCTGAGAAGGAGAATCAGTAGACCCTGGATGAAGGATGGAGAGCTCACTCTAATCCTTCATCTTAGGCTTAGAAGAAGCAGAATCAAAATTCTCATGACTACCTCCAACAGGTATGTAGTAGGAGCAGGGGAGAGTAGCTTCTGGTAAATCAAGCCTGAAGGAAGATGGGCTGGGAGAGGGAGACTGCTGGGAAAGAGTTTCTCCACCATTTACTTCCATGGAAGAAGAACTAATCCCTGCAAACCAGGGAGGCAGCAGAAGGGGGGTTTCCCAAGCCAGATAAGTAGGGAGTCAGGCAGAGGAGTAAGCTGCTCCAGGAGGTGAGAGGGCCTCACACCCTCTCCTGTTCATTCCCCCCCTTGCCAAAGACCTCAGCCATAAAGATCTCACATCCCCTCATCTCCAAACTTTTGGTAAAAAGAGGTGCAATTATCAAGGTCTTCTCTGGGCTTCCCTAGGGTCAAAGACGGACCTTTTGGGGTATGTTGTGAGCATTAAAGCACCAACTCAGCTCACTGGCCCCCAGCTAACTTCTGCCCTTGAAAAACTTAGCCTGGTTTTGCCACCTTCTTTTGACTGACCCACTGAGTGCACAAATCACTATACTTTTCCTTCATTCTTCCCACTTGTCACTGAACTGGATGATGTCCACAGCTTCCTCCACCACTAAGAATCTGCTCCAATGCGCAGAAACAATCTTTATGCGTGCTGATACAGCTTATTTCTGATGATAAAAAATATCTGCTTATTTCAGAAACGAGCAAAATATTTCAAAGAAAAGACAAAAATCTGATATGACCCCATTATCTGCAGGAAAGCACTGTTAACCTTTGGAAACTTTCTTTCTATGGTTGAATTTTTTGGCATTTATATCTTTTTTTTTTTTTTAACCAAAATTGGGATCTTATAGTCTATACAGCTGTGTATCCTGCTTTTTCAACTGTCATGCTGTTGTGAGCATTTTCCCAAGTTATCAAATATTCTTCAAAAATCCAATTTTAAAGATTGTATAATATTCCACTAAGAGGATGTACCATGATCACAGACTGTTTCCTTGTTTTCCTAATATAAATAACAATGCCATAAATATCCTAGCCTGGTGCATAAGTATCTGTCTGTATCTCCATTTCCTTAGGATCAATTCCTCTAGGTGGAATCACGAAGCCAATGAATATATTTTAAAAGGTCTTGACATGTGCCTGGCTGGCGTACTCAGTGGTTGAGCGTCAACCCGTGCACCAAGAGGTTACCAGTTTGCTTCCTAGTTGGGACACATGCCCAGGTTGTGGGACCAATGCCCAGTGGGGGCATGCAGGAGGCAGCCAATCAATGTTCTTTCTCATTGATGTTTCTGTCTCTCTCTCCCTTCCTCTCTCTAAAATAAATAAAGAAAAAAAAACTTAATAAAATAAAATAAAAGGTCTGGACATGTACCACCATATGAATTTCCAGAAAGATACAACAAACCCATTGATTTTCTCGGGCCACGTGAGAGCAAAGTTCTGAAAGGACTGGAGTTAGAATGCAGGACAGTGGTCCTGTCTCTCCTCCTCTCCCCTAGTCTTGAAGGTTAACTGTCCAGCAAAAGATAGGACAGAATTCCAAGTCAGAAGATCAGGTCTGCAGCCTAGCTCTGCCTCTCCCTGGCTTTGGGAACCTGAAATGATCATCGGTTCTCAACTGTAAAATGGGTCTGATTGGTGCTGCTGACTCCTCATAGCAGTTTCCCTGATCACATGAAAGTCAATGCTTTTTGTCAAAGGGCCTTATTATTATCCTTCTCATAACCTGGGGGTGCTGAAGAAATGAGTTGTTCTTTGTGAAAGCCCTAGGGCTTCCCTTCCTGGTTCTTAGTCATCAGAATGCCCAGAACAAGTGCTGGCTAGTTCTGAGGGTAAGAAAGCGTCCTGAAGGAATCGGTGGAGTCTGAGGGTCTGGGAGGACCCAAAGGTCAGGGACAGCACTGGAAGCTGCAGGACAGAGAACTGGGCCTAGGGTCTCTCTGAGAGTGCTGGGTGGGTCGGGGACTCAGAGGGCAAAGACTTTCCTGATAAACGTTCCTCTGTGTCAAGGTTCCCAGCCCCTCCTTTCTATGGTTCCAACTGAACATCTGGCCTTTGGGGGGACCAGAAACCAAGCTGATTCAGTGGATGCAAAAAGTCAACAACTGCAGAGGACCCCAGAGGCCATCAGCTCTGGCTTTTTCTTCTAGACTGCTATAAATCAGTCCTGGATCTTTAAGACTCTCCAATTGGAAATGCAACTAGTGCTTCCAGGTTGACCTATCCAGCCCTGGGCAGATGAAAACGGAGACTATGAAATCTCCCTTGAGAAGCACAGCTGTCCCGCCTGAGCATCCTGCCACCCTGACCTATCCACCCCGTAAATGCCCTTCCTCATGATGCTTGCCTGCAAGCTCGGCAAGCATCATGGCCTGAGGGGACTCCAGTGACGTTCCCAGTACTGGCAGGGAGAACTGCGCAGACCCCGACGAACGCCATCCTCCCGATTTCCACCATCACCATAGGCCGCCCCCCACCCCTGGTCCACCTCCATGGCCAGAGAGATACACATTTCCTGTCTCCATATACGCACAACAGGTGGCACCTGCCCGTCCTCCCCAACCACACATCTTCATCTCTCCCTGCCCTCCACCTGCGCCCTAATCCTCCAGCTGCGCCCGGCCCCGGCGGAGGCTTACCTTTGAGGTTTTGGGGGTGGCCCCGCGGCGACCGGCTTGGGTTTCCTCGGGGCAGAGAGGGGATACTGGAGAAGTTGTTACCCATTGCATCCAGCCCCAGGGGGTTCGGCGCTCGTGGGGGGCAGGCGAGGCTGGGCAGGAACCGAGATACTGAGCGAGTGTGTGCGCGCGCGCGGGTGCGCGCCGCCGGGGGAGGGCCCTGGTGAGGCTGCGGCCGGGGGCGGGCGGGCTGCTCCTCTCCTCCCTCTCTCTGGGTTCCGCGGTCCTCCGCGGGTCCAGCCCGCCTCGGGGGTCCTCGCGCAAGCCAGCTACCTGCCTGCCATTGCCTGAAGCGGGGGCGGGGGTCGCGGCCGGGCCCCTGGGTCGCGGCCGGCGGCGCCCGGGACTCCCCCCTTCCTCCGGCTGGCGTTCGGGTTTCGGCTCGTGGTGGGCGGCGCGGTGGCTCCCGCGCGCTCCCCCGGGGCCATAGAGTCAGGGCTCCCGGTGCGGACGCTTAGAGGCTCGGCCTGCCTCGCGGCTCGGCGGCTCGGCGGCAGGCTTGATCCCCGCCCGCGGGGACGGCCGCTGCGGCGACGTGCGTGGCACCCTACCGCCGGAGGGTCTGCATGGAGCAGGGCTCCGTGGAACGCGGAGCGTGGTGGGCGCTCCCGCGGTGGTTGATCTCCTCCGGCCGCCGCGCTCCAGCCGCCGCCGCCCCCGCCCCTGCCCCTCGCCCCTAGCAGTCGCCAGGATTCCCTCGCTCCGGTTGTTATGGTGACAGCTGCGCTGGTGAATGAGCGTCTTAGTGACACGCGCGCGCGCGCGCGCGCGCTCAGCCTGATGTGGCTACGGGGCGCACCACATTCCCGGCTGCCTGGAGCTCTGCGCGGATCAGGGGGAGGGGTTGAGGGGACACCCTTGTGGGGTAAGATACCAGGCAGAGGTTGGGCTGCAGGGTTGGGCTTATTCCTCTCACCGACAGTGGAACGCGGTCTTGAAAACGAGAACCGGTACAGCAAGAACATTGAGCTCCCTGGGTGCCAGGCGCAAGGTGAGAAAGCTCTAATTTACAATTTCCCTACACCAGGTACAGGGCCTGGCATATAGTAAAAGCTCAAAAAAAATTTTGTTTTTTAAATGAGTGAATGGATGATTGAATAAATGAAGTGAGATTAGGAACCCGGCACTTGACCATCTATCCACTCTCAGTCAGATCTGAAGGGGCAAGGGCTCAGAACAAGAACCCTATGCTGTCCAGCTACTGGACACATAGTATTGGGGGCCTTTGGATGAATACAGATCGGACCTAGGCCAAGCTGGGGAAACAGATCTCGGGGACAAATCATCAGAGAACCACTGACTCTGAACTGAGTGGTTCTGTCAGCCGTAAAAGGTGGGGGGAAGGGACTTCTGTGGCCTGTAGCAGTCAATGAAGGCTTGGGGGGCGGGGGGGGGGGCTTCCACAAGTCTTCTGTTCACATAACTCTTCCCTCCTGTAGCTCTACACTGCTACCAGGAAGCCTGCAGGAAGGGAAAAGAAAGTCATTCTCCTCTTACCTGTACATGGGGCATCTCCCTCTCCCAGTCCATCAGGGGTAGGTGAGCCAAGCTCCCCCCTCTCCCCCCAGAGAATCTGCCTTCCTGCCCCTCTAGGTCACCTCTAGCCCTGAATCAGCAAGGACACGAGCTGGCAACAGGCATCTCATCCAACCTGTTATAGAAAGTTCTTCCCTCAAGTCTCCATATGATGGCTCCTCATTATTCAGGCACAGTCCACGTGTTGCCCCCGACCTTCCTCAACTAAAGAACCTACCACTCTGTCATTTTCCATACCAGTATTCTGTTTTATTTTCTAGAGTTAGTTTGAAAGTCGCCTTTCCCCTTGTTTATGTTCTGCCTCCCCCACTGGAACATAAGCTCTGTGAGGGGAGAGAGCAGGTCCACTCCATTCACCATGACACCCCCAGCCTCTAGGAGAGTTCTGGCACATGACAGGCTATCAAAAAATGCTTGTGGAATGGACGAATCTCCCTGTTTGTCATCAGAACTCCACGAAGATCCCTGGGATCTTTATTTCCCTCCCCTGCCCTCCACCCCCACCTCATTGTAGTCATCACTTCCTTAAAGGTCTGAGACTCCAGGTGAGCTAGAAATATCTGTGACAGCTGCTTTCTGGGGTCTGGAGGGAAAGACAGCCCCCTCCCCCACCTCCAGACTCTCAGATGCCCAGGATCATGTGCCCAGCCAGCTGCAGAATGGACGTGGCAGGTCAGGGGCGCTGTCTTATTTATGGGCATATCTTCCCAAGGCTCACGCCCAGCCGATGACTCATGTGTCAGAAATCCATGGGCTCTGAATGGCAGCACACTCACATTTGCACGCACACCTCTACATTCTCTTGCACACTCACTTCTACACAAGCGCATATGCACTCACACACACTCATATGCTTCATGAAGTCTGCTGGAATGAGGTCATTGGGAGCTGCTGCTGGCATCACAATAAATCTGAAGGCTCTGTATGGATGAGACTAATTCCCTCAGAGTGTGGGTGTGAAGTTGAGGCCCTTGGTGGGATTTGCAGACAGTGGCTGAGAGGAGGCCTAGGCGCTCCCTAGAGTCCCACCCTCCCTTCAGGGAGGAGGAGCTGGAACATGGGCCAGGGAATGATGGGGGGTGAGGCCCCCAAGGCAGAGGACAGCAGAGATGTCACAGGTCTAAACCTGGGGCTGTGGGCAAAGCAAGGGAGAGATGGAAAAGGTGGGAGAAACATGAGGGCCAGAGGCAGGTGTTGCCTGCGGAGTCCAGAGGTAGCAACAGGCTCTGCAGCTCCAGGTGGCCCCACAGGAAGGTGAGAGGCATTAGGGACCAAGGCAGAGAGCTTAAAACAGGAAAGAAACTTCCCCTGATCCAAGAGGGTTGAAGAGCTACTGGGAGTATCAACAGGGCTGAGGTTAGGATGAAATGAGCGAGGCCTCTCTGCTGTGAAATGTGAGGCCCAGGCCCTCGGGTCCTGCCATGCCAATACTGCCCTTGCTGAGCCTGAGAATGAGTAATTCTGCGCCCTAGGCCACCTCCCTAGCCTGGCCCTAGCCCTTGCAGGGAGCTATGTATTATAGGAGGGGACACCACTGTCAAGTGTCAACTGGGTGCAAGTCTCTGGCCAGGCCAGGACCTAGAGGAGGCAGTGTGACTGCATGGGCCCCAGAGAAGCCAGAAGTGGCCCCTCTGAGGGGTCCTGTGCCGCAGAAACCCTTTCCTGGCAGGGGCTATGGTTAGACTCAGCTTAGAGAGCAAAGAACTCCAGCACCCTCCTCCCCCCCCCTCCCACACACACACACACACACACTGGGCAGAATCCCAGAGACCTTCAAGCCATACATCGAGGTGGCTGCCAGCAGGCAAGAAAATGGCCTTCATGGCCCTGAAGGCCCTTCCCGGCCCCATCCTGGAAGGGAGGAGGGAAGAGAAACCTGTCTGGGGCTGGATGAAGTCACACTTCTGCAGACTTCAGTGGAAACTATTAATACCCATAAGGTGGTGCTCCAGCACCTGTCACCATGGCAAACCCGCCTCCCCAGTAGTGTGGATTCTGAAGGAGGTGCCCAAGGAAGGAGATGGGTATGAGTGCAGCATGCATGCTTGCGTGTGTGTACACACGTGTCTTGATGTGTGTGCATGTGTGAGTGCTCACACCAGCATGCAGGGGAGGGAGGACCCCAGTGGAGACCCAGAGAGAACTGGCAGGGGCTCCTTCAGCAGCAGCTCTGGCCTCCACCCTTTCTTCTCTCTCCCTACTTCTCTCCCTTGTGGCTGGCTCTGTTCTCCTTCTCTCCCTCTTTCCATCCTCCTTTTGTCTTTCTGCCCTTCTCTGCTTCTCTCCACCTGTTTGGCTGTTTCCTGGCTGTCTCACTTCATCTTTACTCCTTGCCCCCTCCCCTCCTGCTGGTTCACCTCGCTCTTCCCCTTCTTCTCATGCCCCACAGCTCCCAGGTCAGATCAAGTAAAATAATAAAATGTTTGACTGCCAGTCTCCTTTCTTCCTTCCCTAAGCTCCGGGATGCTAAGCTCAGAACCAGACCTGGGGATGATCCCCCCACCAGGCAGTCAAGAGTGGGGTTCATCTAGGCTAAGCTAGACCTCCCCTAAACTTGAGATCACCTAGTCAATAGCATGACACCTCCTTCTGTGTCAAAAAAATAGCCTTAAAATAGGAAAGAGCTACAACCATCCCTAGCCAGAATACAGAGGTCCCCTACCCTCCCACAGTTATCAGTGCATCAAAAAACCTATCCAGGATTGTTCTGCCTGAAGTGCAGGGGGTCCCTAGACACGTTAAGGGGAAAAGTGCCTGATACTCGATAAATATTTATTCAATGAGCCCTGGCTGGTTTAGCTCAGCGGTTAGAGCGTCAGCGTGCCTCGGTTGTGGTTTGTCCCCGGCCCCGGTTGGGGTCATGTGGGTGGCAACCAGTCAATTTGTCTCTCTCACATCGACGTTTCTCTCTCTCTCCCTCCTGCTCTATCTGAGGATAAATGCAAAGATGTCCTCGGGTGAGGATTAAAAATATATATATATATATATATATATATATATATATATATTCAATGAATCAATAAATCAGTGAATTAACCTATCAATACAGCCACCCAGTCAGCCAGAGAACCTTGCTCAAACTAGCCCACCCGGCCAGTTCCCTTCTCAGCGGTACCTCTCCCCCCGTTTTCTCTGAGGCCAGGCCTTCCCTCTGAAGGATGGGAGTCTGTGTACCCATCCTAGCGTGGCAAGGGCACCACACGGCCTTGTTCCCAGGAGCTCTGGAATCTGGCACTGTGTGAGATGCAGTCGCCTTGCCAGCAGCATGGGGAAGCCCGTCCTGCCCTTTTGCGTCCTCCACTCCAGTTTCCCACCTCTCATGGCTAAGGGTAGGGCCGAACACACGGTGGGCCCCAGTATCATTAAGATATCAGTTCTTCCTACCTTGATCTAGAGATTCAATGCATCCCAATTAAATTCCCAGCAAGTTATTTTGTGGATATCAACAAACCGATTCTAAAGTGTGTGTAGAGAGGTCTAAAGACCCGGAATAATCAGCACAATATTGAAGAACAAAATTGGAGGGCTGACACTCAAAAAGTATTATAAAGCTACAGTAACCAAGACTGTGTGAAATTGGTGAAGGAACAGACAAATATAGATCAATGGAACAGAATGGAGGGCCTACAACTAAACCCACATAAAAGAAGTCAACTGAGGGATGGGGGGTGGGAGGGGTAGGAAGAGATAAACCAAAGAACTTACATATATATGCACAACCAATCCACACAGACATTAGGTTGGGGAAAGCAGAAAGGGGTGGGAGTGGGAAGGAGGGGGTCAATGGGGAAGTAAAGGAGACGTCTGTTACATTTGCAACAATAAAAAATTTAAAAATAAAGAAGTCGACTGATATTTGACAAAGGAACAAAGATAATACAATGGAGCAAAGAGTCTCTTCAACAAATGGT